GGCTCTGGGTTTGGGTTAGAAATGACAGCTCTAAGCTGTCATCTTTAGATACAGAGGAGCAGTGTCTGGTGCCCAACCACCCTACAAAGGAAACCCATTTCAGCCACTTGGGATTTTCTGATGTAGCGCCCGTACCACGTAGCTAATGAGTTAACAAAGGTTAGATTGAAATGTAGTACATTGGTTGGGGCCTTGGGAACGTTATTTTAAAGATAGCTGTACAGCTTATAGGAGATACAACTTACTGTTTATATTTAATTTAATAGTGGTGCCTCCACTTAGCAGGAAATTATGAATTTATACCTTGTTTGATCCACTAAGAATTTAATTTGCTTCACATATAAAATTAAACAAAACAACAACTTTTCAAACTTAAAAGTCAACCCCAAAATAACACATTGCAGGCCTTAATCGATGCTTGGGTGTATGGGAGCTAAAAACAAACAGCTTGTTTGCTCACTGAGCAAATAAAATAATGTGCATTGGTTTAGCTGTGTACTTACAAATCCTTCAAAGTTTGAGATTGGATTGGGAAAGGTAGCTGTGGAGATCCCTTAATATGGCACTGAGCAGGTGATGTCACACAAATACCGAGGTCCTTCCCGGCAGCAATCTCAATGGTGGAAACCCGACAGCTGAATGGGGAACTTCTACTCATCAAGCAGGTCCAAAGTTTAGCTCCTGGTCCACTGTACACATTAACAGCTCTCAGTGCTATACTGTATATCCCTTAGTAAATACTTTGGCTTCTCATATGAAGCCATTAAGAATTTAACCAGCCACTAATGGTAGGATTTACATTTCAGTATACAATAACCAGAGCTGCTACATCACACTAGCATGCTAAAATACTAGTTGCGCTTAGCATGGTTTTCATCTACAAACTGCATCATTCTGAAACAGCACAAAACATACAGACAAAGGTATATACTAGGGATGGGGCAGATCCGATCCAGTATTGGTATCGGCATCCGATACCAGCATAATTTACGTATCAGATTTTCCGATCCACCTGCCGATATTTCCGATCCATGATGCATGTTGGCTTCAAACTACGGAATGGATTTCCTGAACGGCGGCGTGTCTCATGAACCCAGAGTAATAAGACCTGCCTCACATTCAGGAAATCCATTTCATAGTTTGCAGCCAGCTACAACGTGAGGACTGAGTTAGCAGCACTGTGGCTAACAGCTAACAAACTTTTCATCTAAACATGTCCACTGTGTGGAAGTATTTTACACTAGAAACACAAAACAAGACAGCATCGTGCAATGTCTGCAGAGCCATACCGCCACATTAAACGACGTTAAAGTTAGTTTTATGATGGACTGTACAGTGACTGGTCTGAATGACTATCGACCAGTGGCCCTCACCCCGATAGTCACTAAATGCTTCGAAAAACTGGTCATGACTCACATCAAAACAACCATCAACATCAACGAGGACCCTCATCAGTATGCATACCGTGAGAACCGATCAACAGAGGATGCCATCTCCTCTGTGGGCCACACTGCGCTCAACCACCTGGAGCAGAAAACTCTTACGTCCGTATGCTCTTTGTGGACTTCACATCTGCCTTCAACACCATGATCCCCCAAACCCTGATGGACAAACTATCCACACTAGGACTAAGCCCCTCAATTTGCAACTGGGTACTAGACTTCTTAACAAACAGACCACAGTTAGTGAGGAAAAATCACATCATGTTGCTGCTGATCTGTTTCATGTTGCTGCTGATCTGTTTCAATGTTGATGTGTTCATGCGTGCTCATCTGCTCACACAGACTCATGTTCATGTTTGTGCTGATGTTCAATGTTTTTATGTTATGAGTGCTTAGTGTATATTTAGTTGATGCTTTTCTTAGTTCATATCTTAGATGTTATTACTGTTTTTCTTATACATTTTATTGTTGGATGTAACTGGGACCCTGTGTACATAATTTCGCTCCACCACATGTACCACATGAGGTGTGAATGACAATAAAGAAACTCTGACTCTCTGACTCTGACATTCGAGCTCTGTGTCTTCAGCGGGGCACTACTCTTTGGTCAAACCGAAAGAGGTGACTCGACCCATGCCAGCCACGTCCAATCTGCCCCACTCAGTCTGCCCATCTCCGAGGAGGGACAGACTGAGCGCGGCTGCCCCAAATCAGGCTGCCTGCTTCGGATTGAACAAGAAGAAGACATCGCTGAAACCACGGAGCTCAAATGTTTACAGAGAAGTTGCTAAACTTCATCATAATTAATGACCAACCACTATCAGTTGTAGAAAACTAAGGATTTCTCAGCTTGATACTTGCAGCCAAGATATAGTTTACCCTCCAGGAGATATTTTTCAGTACAACAGTAGACAATCATAAAAAACATGATTTAAAAATTATATATATTAAAAACATAAACAGCTACATTATAAAGTGATGTAAAATACTAAAAACAAGAACATGTCTGTTGGTTTATGCCATGAACTTAGCAGATGTTTGAAGCCATTTAACATTTAATTTAATTCATTTATTCATTCATTTAAATTAATGCAATGAAATGAATAAATTAAATAAATAAATTAATTAATTAAACAAAATAAAAAATATATATATATCAAACAGAAAACATTGAATGAAAAAAGTGCAGAAAGAAGAAAAAAAATCTTATATCTGCCCCTTATAAAATATAGAACAACTTTAAACAATCACTTAAATTAATCACTTTAATATCCACTTTAAAGCTAGGAATAAAAAGAAGCATGTTTTGTGTTAGCAGAATTTAATTCTAACTTTAAAACTTATCCAACATTAATAAAACTTACCTCAAGTTGCCTTTTTGGACATGCATGCATATATTTGTACAAATTGTACTTGAGAGGAGATTATTACAGCCTCATATAAAATAAATGATGATCATGATATCGGAACTGGATCGGTATCGGCCGATACTCAGTTCTAGGTATCGGGATCGGATTGGAATTTATAAAAGTGATCGGTGCATCCCTAGTATTTACCTTTCCAATGCTTCTTAAAGTCCATTACAATTGGCATCTCTGCATTAACCACTGCAATGTATAGCTTTTCTCTGCTATTGTCCCATGTCTGCGTTACCGTGTGTTCTGCCTTGTCTGGTTTTCACACTGATCCACGATTCATGCAGCGTACCATTAATCCCGTCCACTCCCATCTGATTGGGCAAAAATAAAATGCTTAATCCAATACAAAACAAAACTGAACAAGATTGACACAGCACAACTCAAAGAGTAGGTTGTACATCTGCCATGAGGCACCAAGTGCAGCAAACTTTTGTGTGACCTTCAAGGAACATAGTAAAAATGACAACTCCCTGAACTAAATTTTCTTGACCAAGTATGAACTGTTTTTAAAATGATACATTTTTAAATGGCAAAATACTTTTTTACTCATTCATATTTAGTCCACTTTTATCACTTAGACATTGTTTTTAAACTTAAATGATATATGAACTTAGTTAATACTTTAGTTTGTACTATATAGCACAGTTCAAACTGGGCTACACTGACATGATCTGAGCTGGACCGTTAAATTGTTTTTAACATTTGGTTATAAACTTTCTAATATTCCTCTTCTAAGGGGAAAAAAAAAAACGTGATTTAGACTTTTCAAATAGCCTGAAAAAAAAAAAACATGTTGCTTTACTGCTGTTTGTGTACATTTATAGTTCTATTTGCTATATTATGTTAAAAACTATCCCTGATTTTTATTTTATTTATTTTTATTTTTTATTGTTGCTGCATTCTGCTGGGATGGATCACGTGGGTAAACGCAGCTGTTGCTGATAATATTGTCGCTGAGCAAAATTAATCAAGTAAATAAGAAAAGCAAAGTAGTTTGTGCTCTATTTGTATTTTTCTTGTCGGTGCATCGTTTCCAATCCAGATGCAGCTGCTGTTTAGTTCACAGTCCAGCCTGCGCAGAGAGAGGGAGGGATGAAGAGAGAGGAAGAGCGCTCCTCCTCCTCCTCCTCCTCCCCTCAGCGCTCATCCGGACAAGCCAAGGTAATTCTGTTCTCACGGCGGAGTCCGCTCCTCATCTCTCCTCTTGCATGATGGAAAGTGAAATAACCCACCTGTGGTACGTCGGTCGCCGGTACTTTGCTGCTCTTCACTTCCGCTCCGTCCAATCTCCTCCACTGTTTTTTGCTGAATAACTTCTTTTCCGGCATTTGTTAAGATTTTTTCTCTCCCTCGCTCCAGACACGCTTTCAGAAAGAAGAACCGACGCGCCGGGCTGTAACTACAGAGTTCTGGGAGAGCTTCGTGTATCTTTGGATGAAGGTTGTTTTATTTTTTTACCCGGTGAGTCTTTGACACGGATATAATGAGCAGCTGTTATCCTGCTCCATCTTCAGCCTGCTCATTTAAAGTCATCCAAATATTGGGCTAATGTACTAAAATTCAAGAGTCATTACATTCATTTGTTTAATTTACTCTGTAAAGATGTGTTCTTGTCTGCACTGTTATTTTTATTAGATTTTATTATTTTATTTTTTTAAAACTTGGGACTCAACAGGTCTTCTGTTTTCTTTTTAAGAAGACCATCAAGAAAAAAATAAAATAAAAGTTTTAAACCAGTATAAAAGAAGCATTCTATGCAGTTTTTGTAGTTTTGCTACATTTGCTTTATAGTTGACACCATAAAGGTGCTATGTTGAAAGCAGCACCTCAGAGGTGAACTGAGATAAATAACTTGGACTGAATTATAGTTTTAGACGTGAAACATGTTTCTGTAATTACAGTTTTTAAAACAACTTAGTTTTAGAGGATGGGAATTGGTCTAATTTAAGTAAATTTTTCACTTTTTAATGCCATTAAGGTCTATATTACATTTATAGAATAAATGTTTTGTTCTTCTTTTTCTAGTCCCTGGATGACTTTAGTACTCATTATTTATTCTACATGTTTTACGTTCAAGTGTCACAAACTCTGTTTTCTCGTAACAGATGTCACTCTCTGTGTTTGCGTTGCTTCAGATGGTGAATGAGCTGAAGTCAAGCTGGTTGTGAAGGTGCTGGACTTGTTCCCCCCTGCGCCCCAAGCCGGACACAGCATGGCGGCGGGAGTAGCGGCATGGCTTCCGTTTGCGCGGGCAGCCGCCATCGGCTGGATGCCTGTGGCCAACTTGCCCATGCCAGTTGCGCCCACTGAAAAGAACAAGAGACAGGATGAGCTCATAATTCTTAACGTCAGTGGACGGCGCTTCCAGACCTGGAGGAACACGCTGGACCGTTATCCAGACACGCTGCTCGGCAGCTCAGAGAAGGAGTTCTTCTACAACGAAGACACCAAAGAGTACTTCTTTGATCGTGATCCTGATGTGTTTCGCAGTGTGCTCAACTTCTACCGCACAGGCAAGCTCCACTATCCACGCTACGAGTGCATCTCCTCTTACGAAGAGGAGCTGGCTTTTTTTGGTATTGTCCCAGAGATCATTGGAGACTGCTGCTATGAAGAGTACAAGGACAGGAAGAGGGAGAATGCAGAGCGCCTCATGGATGACCAGGAGGACAACAAAGATGCTAAGCTACCCAACATGACCTTCAGAGAGACCATGTGGCGGGCCTTCGAGAACCCTCACACATCCACCATGGCCCTGGTCTTCTACTATGTCACTGGCTTCTTTATTGCTGTCTCTGTCATCACCAATGTAGTAGAGACGGTGCCCTGTGGTTCAGCACCCAACCAGAAAGAGGTGCCATGCGGAGAGCGCTACACTGTGGCCTTTTTCTGCATGGACACAGCCTGCGTGATGATCTTCACCGTGGAGTACCTAATGCGTCTATATGCTGCGCCCAACCGCTATCGCTTCATGAGATCTGTTATGAGTATAATTGATGTGGTGGCCATCCTACCCTACTACATCGGCCTGGTGATGACGGACAACGAGGACGTGAGCGGGGCTTTTGTGACACTTCGTGTCTTCCGTGTGTTCCGAATCTTTAAGTTCTCCCGGCACTCGCAGGGCCTGCGCATCCTGGGCTACACGCTGAAGAGCTGTGCCTCGGAGCTGGGCTTCCTGCTCTTCTCCCTTACAATGGCCATAATTATCTTTGCTACTGTCATGTTCTACGCAGAGAAGGGTTCAAGCTCCAGCAAATTCACCAGCATCCCAGCTTCCTTCTGGTACACCATCGTTACTATGACAACGCTTGGGTAAGAGCCGAGCAGACGCAGCTTTTATCTGGTTTTCACTTGCTCTGTTTGAGTGCGTTTGAATACATGCCCGCATATGACAGAGTGTGTATGTCTCTTTGCAGTTGTCTGGGTAAATGTTTGATTGCGATTTAACTTGAAATGTCTGATTTTTGGAATCTTGCAAGTGCCTCAGAAGTTAGATCCGCCCTCTCCAAGAGATTTGCTGCTAACTTTGCTCATAATGATAAAGAACTATAGAGAAAAAGCACTTTTCTCTGCCCCGCTGTGTTTTCTCTTTCTTCTGGCAGTATTCTTCAGGGAAAAGCAGCCATCAAGATATTCTCTCGCAGTAATGACTGAGCCACTGCTCACCCTTCAAACATCACAGATAAGAGGAATATGGACAAATGTGGAATAAAAAAGGCAAAGTTGAAAGCATATTAGTGAAACAAAACAGAGAGGAAATGTAGAAGCAGATTATACCATTACCTCCCTCTCTGACGTGCCCTGTGGTTAGCAGAGCCACATTTTCAGAATCAACTGAAACGGACTCTGCATGCAGAGAGCACTCCTCCTACTTAACTCACTCTTTGTGAATTGCTAGTTGCTGACCTTGAAGTGCTTTTAGGTTAGCCTCTGTGATGCAGATAATCAGAATGCTCCACACAAGATTCAATTATTTGCGTTAGATTACTGACAGAGATAATTATTGTTTGCTGATAGTTTTTAAAAAGCTTTACATGTTGCCATTAATGTCTGATTAACCTGCAGCCTGGGCTGCCGTAAATTGGCTGTGATCAAGATGTACAGTATAGCTGTTTAGAGCATTTTGGTGCATTAAGTTTGTTTTTCAAACTCTTTTTTTGCCATTGTGTGTTCCCATACACACACACGCACAAACAGTTATGTGACGCAGCACTATTAGGCTTAATGGTAATTTGTTTGATGACTGCCCCCCTGTTTTGTGTGTGAGTCAGACAGAGAAGCTGATAAATTGCAGCATCCTGCTAAATGTCAGAGTCATTGGGGCCATAAACGGCTCTGAGCTCATTGCTGTGACACACTTGGCACCCTATCATCATGCCCTGCCATTCACAACCTGCCCAGAAGACCTGGTGTTGTGCAGATATTTGTTCCTGGACCCATTGTGTTAAACAAATAACCACTGAACTATGGGTAATTTTCTGCTCTTCTGGCTGTTAGTATTCAAGGCATGCTGGAGCGTATGTTGCTACACATCCTAGCCTGTACTTGAGCATCGTACCTGTCACTTCCCACCTGAAATGCTAAATCAGGCTCCTGTTGCTTACAGAGGAAGATCAGAGTCTGGGTTTGTGTGTGTCTGTATGTGTGTGTTAGCTAAGAGAAGGGTCGCTGTTGAGCTTCTTCTCATCAATAAAGCCGAGGCCAGAAGAGGGTGTCAGAGTGACTAATGACGTGGCCCACTGCATCTGCTGACTAATGTAAACTTTCTTGACATTCTGGTCTCTGCTTACAGTTCACGTCCATAACACACACACACACACACACACACATATATATACACACATGCGTGTGCGCACGCACACACAATGCACATTCATAACCAAAAATGTTGATTTGTATATTCCTCCATGCAAAATTTGTGACATGGGGAGTTTTTCGAGGTATTGCAAGATTTGAAACTCGCAAGCGTAAAATATATACAAAGTTTTGCTACTTGCTTTCTCAAAGATGTTCTTGAATCATTGGGAAAGTAACACAAGTGTCATCTGTTGAAACATGCATACTCATTTTAGTATATAAGATGGAATCCAGGTTCTATAGTTTTTTTTTTTTGTTCTCTTGTGTAAGAGTTTAGAGCCTATATTTGTGCTGCTCAGTTTTTTTGTCTTCTTTCTTTCTTTTTTTTTGGAAACGTCATTCACACTCATGTATAATTTTCTTACATGAGGTTTTCGTTTATATTCTGAAAAATAAGATGTGTTTGTTGAAGTTTCAGTATTGCACATAAACATGTTGACACACTGATATGTGTCCCTCCTCAGCTCCTTGGTACACGCTGTCCGTGGCCTTCTGCCACTGCTTTGTTTTGTTTATATGATGGAAAGCCATCCTCACTTTGAATCCATAATCCTTCTTCTGTGTTAACAATAAGATTCCAGGTTTATATATATATATATATATATATATATATATATATATATATATATATATATATATATGCAGTACACCGTGTACTGTATACGTCAGAAAAGAAGAGAAACTGGTAGTGACGTAACAACCACTTAGTAGAGTTAACAATTCACCACCACCATCCTTAGGATGCTGAGCACACGGCTAAAAGCTTATCTGAAATCCTGCAAAAGAGGCATTTGAGCAGATAAAAACAAGGCTTTAGTGACACCAAAGTCATTCAAGTAATAGGACCTGTGAGGGATTTTGTTCTCTAGTTTGTTAAACAATTTGATTTTAGCTATGTTAGGGATTGATATATGTACTGTTTTTTTAAATAGGTTAACTTTACATTTAAAACTAGAGGTAGAATATTATTTGAGTGTGTTTTGAAGAGAAACACGGCCTGGTCTGTTTAGATGTCACAATTAACTTCTGTGTTTTCACAGAGAAAAACAAGCAAGGGAATTAATTAATTAATTATCATGGCATGATTTATATACAAGCATTAGGTTCTGATGAACACATTACAAATACAAAGTGTATTTTTGTACCAATTAGAGGATTATCTTGTCTAATATCTTCCCACTATGCAGTTGGCCTCAGTGCACTGATTGCTTACAAATCTAACATGTCATCTCCATTGAGTCACAAAATGCGAGATGACTTTTTTTTATTTAATATTCTGAAAAATGATTTATTAAATTGTTCAGCAGTTGTAACTGGAAACAGTTCATTTAGCCTCCACATAATTTGGAAATATCATGCTCAGAATTACTTTAATATCTTTCTAAAAACAAACAGCTATATGATCAACATACAAATTTAGTTCCATGAGCAGGGGGAGCTCCCAGTAAAACCTGAACCTTATTTACTATTTGTGTTGACTGCACCTCTTCAAAAACTTGTTTTGTTTATGAAAACAACTCGTATTGTCTCATTTTGTACCCTCACCACCATACATGCTGTTTCCCAGGATGCTTCACTTGTCACATTAAACTAGGCATGTTAAAATTGTTCAAGTATCTCATAGTTTTGTTCACGAGTGATGGAAAAATGGAGTGTGAGATTGACAGATGGATTGGTGCAGTGTCTGCAGTATTGCAGACTCTGTACCGGTCCAATGTGGTGAAGAGAGAGCTGAGCTGTGAGGCAAAACTCTCTGTTTACCGGTCGGTTTACGTTCCTACCTTCATCTATGGTCACGAGCTCTGGGTAGTGACCGAAAGAATGAGATTGCGGATACAGACGGTACCGCCGCATTGTAACTGGACTCCCCCTTAGAGATAGGGTGAGAAGTTCAGTTATCCGGGAGAGACTCGGAGTAGAACCACTACTCCTCCACATCGAGAGGAGTCAGTTGAGGTGGTTCGGGCATCTGGTAAGGATGCCCCCTGGACGCCTCCCTAGGGAGGTGCTTTGGGCTTGTCCGACTGGGAGGAGACCCCAGGGAAGACCCAGGACATGCTGGAGAGACTATCTCTCGGTTGGCCTGGGAACGCCTTGGAGTCCTCCCAGAAGACATGGAAGAGGAGGTGGCTGTGGAAAGAGATGTCTGGGCTTCCCTGCTCAAGCTGCTGCCCCCACGACCTGACTTCGGAATAAGCAGATAACGGACGGACGGACGTTAAAAATGTTCAGATTTCTCATGAAAATCCCTGCAGTTCTCATGAATATTTCCTAAAATTCTCACCCATTATGGTACATAGAAAATTGGAATTTCCAAGTAAGCCATTTTCCATCTCAGAAAATAGGATAACCACTTCAATGTCTAACAAGGTCATCTAATGTTCATTTGGACTCATTTGGGTATACCATTTTATTTTGGTTGTATTAAAAGCCCCCAGTATATTATGGAGTAACAAGGAGAATGGATCAAACTGACTATTAGGTGTCTTTGGTGGATGGGGTTCAAGATGACCAAAATAGGCAGACAGGCTTCTTGGGTACAGACAGTACTGGATCCACATGGAGTCCTGGATCAAAAATAGTAGCTGGTAGTCCTTGCTTTGTTATGTTCTGGCTTGTACACCAAATACTAAAGAAACTTCAGCATAAATTATGACCAGCATTTGGACTTGTGGAAAACGTACTCTGTAATCAAGTATTTTTACCTGATGTTAGTTTTAACTTCATTGTTTGATAGAACTCAAAACAACAGTTTAATGTTTTAAGAAACCAAATCTGCAAGTATGCGTGTATCGACTAACAGAACCCAATTATCTCCTATGGATCAGGACGCACCTTCTTTTTGTGCTCTTGCACAGAATTATGCTCCCCTTAGGATATTGAGCAATTTCTCTTCATCTGTTTAGACGTTAAATACCTTGTCATTGCTGCTTAAGAGCTTGTCTGCCAAACAAGCTGTGGTGTGGCAATTTTTTTTCTTCTTCCCCCAAATTGCATCTGCACTTATGGGATGACAGATGTGCGTACTTCTATTGGCTTTAGGGGATACAGCGACTTTTTAGATCACTGCAACCTGGTTTCAGACACGAAACGCTGACATGTGATTATGATTGACACATGCATGTTATTTTATTGTCCGTATTTTTACATTTTTGGTGAATTTTGTTAAAAAAAAAAAATAATTAAAAAGACAATCCAGTGTCCAGATGTTATGTGAGGGGGCTACCTGAGTAAACACACACAATAGGAATCATTTGACTTGGAGATTTGTGTCTGAGATGAATTAATCTGACATTCATTCAGTGTTTCTAACACACTGAATTTGAAACAGAAAAATTGTTGGCGAAACTCCTTCAATGTTAATAACGAAGTAAGTTGCCTTCAGTTCAGTCCAACTTATCATCTTGGATGACTGAGAATATATACCAGAATATAAAGTATACTTTAGACTGAAT